CCAGCGGCGGCGCCGGTGGTGCTAATGGAGGCAAGGACTTCGCCTCTCACAACACCTCGTCGAATCCGTCGGCGCCGACGACCGATAGCTCCGGATTGTCGCCGCACGCCGCCTCCAATGTGGGTACAACAACGACCACGTCACCGCCGAACAATCACAACAACCTGACCGCCGCCTGTAACAATACGAATCTTTCGATAAACGTGAACCTGAACAATTTGTCGCTGAGGTCGCCGGTCGGGGCACACCAGATGCACATGATGGCACCTAGCAACCACAATAGGCATCCCGCTCAGCAAGGTATCCGATAGCCGCTTCTACACCAAACCGAGAAAAAAAAACCAATTTCTTTCTTCGTAACGGTTGTTCGAACAGTTTTTGACAACCGTATGTCTGTCGCGCGGGAGAAAATGTGAAAACATACGATCAAAAGAGGGAATATTTTTTGAAGGAGGAGAACGAACGAAAATAGGTCACTCTCTCTTTCTCTCTCTCTTTTTCTTTCTAACTAGCTCTATTTGTCTTTGACTCGATAACTGATTCTCATCTGTTCTTCTTTATTCACCATCTATTACCCCGTCATTATTTTTTTTCTTCTTGTTATTCTTTACTTTCGACTATCGCTTTCTGCCAGTAACGCAAGTATAATTAATAGTACTGGAATTAATAACACACTCCCTCTACGCCATTCTGTCGCTCGTTACATGAACGCCAGCCAGCTTTTCGAGTTGATAACTACACGAAGGTTCTTGCACCTTTATCGGGCGAATTCTTTCGTCCGTCGTCGACGACCGACCGCGACATCAACCAAGCACTCGTGTTTTCTTGTTCGTTGCACGATCATCCACGCGATTAAGAAGAATGGTTTCCGTTGCGGTTCTAACGACCGCTACTACGTGACCCTTTGAAGGCCGGACCTTCCTCTTCAATTTAACGATGCACCCACTGTCACCGTTCCACCAAACGATCACGAGACTTTCGCAATCGTTGGCTGTGTGCCGTGCACCCTCTTCTTCTCTCGATATAAATCTCTTATTCATCCAAAACGGTAGTCTCTTTTTTAACAATTATCACTTCCTAATGACTTCGTAAAGATTTACGAAGGTACGCTTTACAAAGGCAACAGATTTTCTCTGTGATTAGTGTTTAAAGACAGTATCATAGGAAATGGAGGGCTTTCGAAACTAGTTAAACGTTTAACCAGCAACATGTCTACCACCCTCGACTCTGTTCGCTCGTGTATGCTAACGCAACCGCGTCGTTGTATCATCTTCGAAATAGCGCCCTCCAGTTACCTTCCTTTTGTCGTCTCTCTTCTTCTCCTTCTTCGTGTTCTTTCTTTTTTTTTTTTAATGTGTTACCCCAAGTCTGTTGCAGGATAAATTGTGAAGTGGGTGTCCTCGACCCTCCTAGTCGAGGGAGATTCGTTTCGAATGGCCGCGCGTTCCGCTCAAAAGCGACGCGTGCCAGAAACACTTTTTTAACGTCACCGAGAGTCTCTTCGTCCGCCTCGAAAAGCTGGTTCTGGAACGGGATGAGCTAAAACGGCATTTAACCGTGAACCGTTCGACTCTTTCGGCTCTATCGCGCTTGCTGCGAAGAAAATTTAGAGAGAAAAAAGAGAATGAGAGAGACAGGCAGATGTATATATTCAGGGAGTCAGAGTAGGGAATAGGGAGAGAAGAGAGCATGCGAAGAATGATATTCAGGGGTTGGTTTGGAGGAACAGTAAAAGAGAAAAAGAGAGGGAGAGAGAGAGGGAGAGAGAGAGAGATAGGTGACATGATTGAACGTGGTCATGCCGTAGATTTGTATGATAAAACAACGATACTCGGTTGTAGATGAAACGATAACCACACAGCGAGCTATAATATGCGCGATCGCACCGTTGTTATGTTCTCCGTAAAACTTTATTGCCAATCGTCGGCTGAATTTATCGGATTTAGTGGACATTACTAGACACAAATCGACTAAAAATGATAAACGACATTTGCTATGACGATTATATAATTGCATATCGTTGTCACCTCTCTCTTCTTTTTTTTTTTTTTGCCTTTTCACGTTGCTTGTTTCTTTTTTTATCCGCTGCGTTTGTTCATGAATTTGTCAGTGACGCGCCGGTGTAAATTCACCGAATTTTAGAACGGCTCGTAACGCACGTGCCTCGTGGTTTTCGCAAAAACAAACGGCACTCGTACGGTTGCACGATGTGCCTTTTTTTGGAGTTGTATAATTGTCAACGTTGAGCTCGAACGCGCGCGGGAGATATTAAAAAATTCGTGCTTTCAATTCAAACGTACTGCGAAACCCGGGAAACCAAAGAAATAAAAACCGTGTTTCGTAATATCACGATTCTCGATAAATTTGTATTCGTATTGTCCCCCCCCCCTCTCTCTCTCTATCTATCTATCTATCTCTCTCTCTGTATCGATATTCACGATATCGGTTCTTGTTTCAATCCTGAGTGGAAAGGGGAAAAAAGGAAAGAAAACGGTGTCGATTGCGACAAGCGACAAAAACGAGAAAGAACGAAACGAGAGAAAATTCTCGTCGCGGTAAGCATAGCATTGGTCTTCGAGCACCAGGCGAAAAGTACATGGCACGCTCTCTCGCTCGACTTTTGCACACCTGTAAACACGCGAACGTACTATTTGCAAGACCTCCTACTAACAATGGTGATTTTCGTGCTTCTTATCTGGCTCTGGGTTTGGTGTAACGCGGTTGCTGGCTACTTTGTACCCTATTCCCTTCCTTTTGTTCCCACGTCTCGCCAGATCGAGACCTACTTTTATTGCAACGCACGTGGAAACAAGCCGACGTTGCACGGCTCGCCATTTATTTCAGATGATGTTTCCGGAACGTTAATGAAACTCTTCGCTACGGACCGGTACACGCACGAGAAACATAACGAATCTGTAACATCGATGATTTATACAATCGGTTTCGCAGCTGCGCCTTTGACGACTGACTGCTATTTGCAACACTTTCAGCCTGCGTCCATTCTCTGTCTGCTCAATGTTTTATCACCCTAAAACGAGGCGCGTCGGTATCCATGCTGAATTAACGCCAACAATGCGCATGGTTGTAGATAGAGACTTTAATATTGCTGTGTTAGCTAAAACGTTCGATATTATTCATATTATCAAAGATTTAATCATTTGCCTTGTATGTGTACATATAGAGTTAACAAAATTTTCATTTTTTATATGCAGTTGAAATTTTAACAAGATACCGTTGGACACGCTTCTACATTTCCTATATGTAAAACGTAAAGTATAAGGAAAATGTTGGCAGTTTCCATTGCAAGGTTAAAAAGACAGGTCCCACATTCCATCGAATAGCATCTGCTCTAGCAAATCAGCCATGGCTTCCTCGCAAACCTGTTTGTCGCTTATCGACTCCTTTTTACTCTGGAGGCACTGATGCGTGAGCCCACCGGTAATACTATCATTAAAGAAGTTTAAACGAATTTCCGTAGAACATGAAGGAAGTATACGTTCAGAAAGATTCGTAATGTACGAGCGAATATTGTTTTTAGCCGCCCGCGTGGACAGAATACGATTAATATACGTACTTATTGAAATACGTATAAAAAATACTTTTGCGATCTATGCCATAGCTATAGATTTTATCTTATCCTATATATCCTCCTCATTCGTCGAATTCTGTCCACGCAGTCCAAAAATATCTTTAAGCCGCTTGCTGTCAAGCGATCGTTCGATCGAAAAGCGCTCGAATTGACTCTTCTCTTCGTACCCTTTCGAAAAATACATATTTCTGCGCCTTTCGATCAACGGCCTCGGTTCGGTTCACAGACGGACAAACGTACGTGTTCACACGCGTCGAGACGCTCTTTAGACTACTCACCTATCACACGATCGGTTACATGACCGCGAAGACTGAAGAAAACCGTAAAGGCGAGAAAAGACCTCGTCGAACCGATCCGATTCACATCTCTCTCACACCTCCTTCGCAACGTACACACATACACACTCGCACACTATTCTCGACTACTTTTGCTCTCTGCATACACGCAGACACACTCACACACATACGCAGACATACACACATGGATAAACAGACACATCGTCTTTTTTTTCCTATTTTTTTTCTCTCCCCTTGCTCTGTGCGTTTTCGCTAATTAACACCAGGTGCACATTTGCGCGACGAGAGGCAAGGATAGGGTAATACGGATCATCGAAGCCTCTAACGATCCAACTCGCGCTCCAACAACTCGGAGACGCTTCACGTTCTTTAACTGCAAAGCACGAGAACGCGAAAATCCATAATTAGCCGAGCGAACGTGGAAAAGTGGTGCGTTCCCATTAGAACGAGAACGGTTTGATCAAAGCCGGTTTTACAAGTTGCACGATGGTAATTTTATTCGATGGGTCGGTGAAACGCCATCACGATGATCGGTATTACGCTATTTCCTCTCTGATACAGACGGCCCAGTCTCGGCACGGTTGCACGTCAGCCGCGCAAACGAGGAGCCGGTTCCCGACGTTACCTCATTACAGACAGTAAGAAAACAAAGAAGACTCGTTCTCCCCGCGCCACGATCTCTGTCGCATCTCACCTTGCTCCATCGTGTTGCCTTCTCGCTTCAAAGGAATACCAACGAATCGATAATCTAGAACCTTTCCAACGTAAAAACACTTAAAGATCAAATGATTTTTCGACAATTGTTCGTGCATTTACTAATCTCAATTATTATTGTAGCTCGATATTGCTTAAAAATGGAAAAGTATCTTGACGGATTCAAAAATCATCCAGAGCTATCCGAAACTATTCGTAAAACGTAGTAAAAGCTAAAAATCTGTTGGGTAAGCTCAGACGACGATTATCTTAACTTGGTAAAAGAACAGAAAATTCATTGGAAGCTCTTCGGGATATTCGAGAAACGCAATAAAAACAAAATTCTTCTCGGTTAAACATAAAGGACGAGAAAAGTGATAAATTTCCAAAATCCGTCACTCGTCCTTATTTCGACGTTTCATCGAAAGCGGAAAAAATCTTGATCTAAAGTCGGTGGTTCATCGTCGTTCACGCACGGCCGGAAAACAGGTGTGGTCGCGTATCGTCCCAAGCTAAACACGCACGAGGTCGGGGTGTGCGTGCTGACGTCGCGTATCTCAGTCCGTTTCGCCGTAGATTTGCCCGTGTACGAGTTAAATCCGCCACACTTACGGCGAGTATCGCAGTTCCGTCAGATATCGTCGGATTTACCCCGTCCGTATCTTCCGTGTGCGCGTCGCTTCCGATGGGTCGGAGGCTCTTTTTAAACCGTGTCACACGGAATCCGACTAATCCGTCCCCCTGGCGACGAGAACGATCGCACCGACCCGTATTTGTCACGAACAACCTCGCGTTGCTGGGTTAATTAGTTTCGAAGGGAACTCTTGAGAAAGAAGAAAGTTCCCGGTGACGGAGAACGTGTGGAATTTTGTCTAGATTATACGTAGAAGGATGCGAGGAATTACGGAGCAGGGTGTTTTGTCTAAGGTTTCGTGACATTCGAGCAACCCTTTGTTTACTGGTAAATTGCGATACTTTTATAATCGAATATTTAAAATTAATTACGATCTTTTATTCGACGCTTTAATATTCTCTTAATATCGTATTTCACTGTTATTCACCGTGTCAGATATGTCCTCGATATTAATCACTTGATCTTTCCAGTATCGTGGACCGAGAGTACTATACCCTCGTGCATTGTACTACATGGACATAACAACCTCGACCCGACGTAATTTCCAATTACAATATGACTCCCGAATTGCGTAATTGACGATGGATAACAATCGTCCAAATACTACATCAAATCATCGTAAACACACGGCCCCGTAAGAATATTTCAAATGACATCCCCCGAACGATTCACACATATACGCTGATTCATGAAAAAGGACACAACACTCGATCATCCCCTTGCGTATCAGTAAACGAAGGGTTAAGAGGGAACGGCGAATGGTTCGATTTTTCCAGTACTTGGCGTCCGGTCGAAGCTGGGCGATTGTCGATAGGCAGCCGGCAGTTACAGTGCCACGTGAATCCTCTCCAACAGAGGCTCACATCGTGGCCACCCTGCCATACGCCCGTCACGCCTTCTTACCCTCAGCTCCCAATATCCCCAAATCTGCCACCGCCACTTGGGGCCACCTTAACAAAAACCTCATGTGGAAGGTAACTAATTCACCGCAGCTAAGAAAAAGGCTCGCTCACTCGCTCGCTCGCTCGCTCGCTCGTGTCGTGTATTGTTTCGATCGAACTTTTTCCTTTCTCTCACTATGTTCTTCTGCCATTGTTTCTCTAATTGACTGCATGGTGTGCCATGGTTTTTATTTTTCTTTTTACGTTCATTCTCTTTTTATGTTTTTAGTTTTTCAACGCGTCTCTTCCATTCTTTTTCGTTACGTTTCTTCGATCCTTACTTGACAAGCACCTAGAAAAACACATTTTGCACACTTAGAGGACACCTCGTGGTTCGACCAGACCCGACGCTTCGAAATCGCATGGAGGTGTGGGGAAACCCGTTTCCGGTGGAACATATTCGTCGGACGAGAGCTTGCGTTCCCCCCTTTTCCCTCCCTTTTCGTTCTCTGTGTCATCGCGATCACTTCGTTTTCGAAACCTCCAAGTCGATCAACGAAAGAAAATTCGAGAAAGATACAAGAAAATTGAGAGACGATGGCGTCTTTCGTCGTTTAAAGTATATGATCCTGGAAAGAAAATATTTTCGTGGTTTCGAATTCGACGATGATCCTGGAGAATGTATATAGGTACACTGAAAGACACAAGACCATATTCAGTTTTGTCAAAGATGAACGTGTTTGTTTTCGTACGGGGCGCGTAGCTCGTTGTGTGTGTTTTACGTTTTCGTTCAGTAGTGACAGAATGATACTATGAACGTGCCCTTATGATCATAGCCTTTGTACATATCATCATACAGCACGTAACGGATCTTCTCGCTCGTTCCTTCGACCATGCATGCGAGCTCGTGAATTTTGTAAAACGTTCCCGAGGTCATCGAGGTGGATCTTCGATGAGACTCATTGACCCTTCCCTATTTATAATTCGTAGGTGTCGTGCGAACGAGATCCTTGCATTTCTGCGAGTTAAATTAATAATCGAAGAGCTTTCTAAAAAGGGAACTTGTAGGTTTACGATGAATATCAAATTATAATCAAATAGTCGCAGATATGGAAAGAAGAAAAAGAAACAAGATTTATAATTAATCAGCTATCCTTAAATATAATGAACAAAATATAAAATGAACAAAATCCTTCAAGAGACATTCTAATTACCAATTCAAACGTAGGTAATATTACAAAATTAAAATCGCTTCGATTCGATTTACTTGATTCGTCATTTTCTCTTGCGAGCTCTTTCTCTAAAGAATTCCTCGCTTGTCTAATTCTAAATTCAACTTAAAAAGCCACTCCAGAAATACCGAAGATCATCGTTCACGCACTCACAACCCCCTTCCTCGTACATACCAAGTTACACGCCAAGTCACTTTATGTTATTTATCAGACCATCAAATTTCATCAAATCCCTCGAACCATCGTCAACCTGCGGTTACTTAAACGTATCTGTCTCTCCCGCAGAACATTTCTTTTAAATCGTATTCCCGTGACTCCGGCCATGGTGGCTCCGAGCAAGAAGACTCGCCTAGGACACACAATACCCTGACCCTGGGACACTCCGGACGAAACCGCGGAGCGAGAGGAATGAACGAGAACAACGAGATGAGCGGCAATAGGACTACCGGAGGCGGCGGTGGTGGCCGAAGGACTGCGATACCGTACAAACATAAATACACGGAGATCATGGACGGTCGTAGTAACGGGCCAGCTCATCATCAGCTGCACGCCCATCATGGTCAACACGTTCATCTTCCGCGGGATTTGACGAACGAGGACGAACCAGTTTACGAAGAGATCGAGCGCGGCGGTGGCGGCGGGGGC